ATGATAAAAGATCGTCTTTTTTTTTTATTCGGCTCTTTTATCAGTATATGAGATTATATGATAACGTTGTTATAAGGAGGCCGTACATGTCAAACCTGAAAATTGAATTCAATTATTGAAAATTTACTTCAATTATTCAATTATTAAATACTTGAAGTTCAGCTATTCAATTATTCAATTTTTGAATAGTTGAACTTCAATTATTCAATTATTGAATAGTTGAACTTCCACTATCCGAAAAATGAATAATTAAATAGTGGAATAATTGAAGTAGATTTTCAATAATTGAATTCAACTTTCAGATTTGACACTACTGAACTACTATCAAATAGATATAATAATGAAGCAATATAATGTTTTTGCTCTTTTCATTATGTACTTTCGTCTTTTTTTTTTTTGTTGTCTAGTAAAAGAAAAATCTAGTTTCATTGTATATTAAATAGTTCTTGAAAAATTTATTTAAGACAAATGTGTTTGAATATAAATAGTTTTGCCTATAAATATTCCGGAAACATTCCATAAGATACATCCTCACGTCTACTTAATAACAATACAATATTGTCATGAAATAGACAAGAACAAAGCATAAATTGTATTGTCAGTTGTGTCATAACAGCAAACTAATCTATAATTATTTGACATACATAAAGCATGATATTTTCTATATTTTATGACCATACTAACCGAACTATCTTGTATATTTAAAACAGAAGAATATGGACAAAAATGTAATTCGATAGAAAAAAAAAAAATTTTTTTTTTTTTTTTTTTTGCTGTTTGCAAATTTTAATTATTTACTATATTAAAATCATTAATTATGAAATCACTTTTAACAAGGACAAATCTAGTAAAGAATTATAATAATAAATATGAAAATAAAAAAAAAACTGGTCCAAACAAATAGAATATATATATGTTATTTACATTTGTTCATATCTCACGAGCTTATTTATTATAACTACTAATTATAAAATCAAAAAAGTCAATGACATAGAATTACTAACAATGATTTTTGTTTTTTGTTTATATTCTCCGTACGAACTCATCATTAATCTTTTCCTTTTCTTTTTTTTTTTTGTTTTTATTTTGATATTTTCCGACGTTTGTTCGTAGTATGCTATTTTGATCTAATAAAACGTATGTTGATTGTATCTGTGTTTATAGAACACGAGCAGCAAGCTGACAAATATCTTAGAAATGTCATCATGATATCAAGTTATTCCAGGCAGTGATCATAATATTTTTTTTTAATTTACCATCTTCGAACACTTCCAATTAGTTGCTAAAAAAAATACAGAAGAAAAATACAAGGGGTTTTTTTGTTATTTACTTATGATTTTTATTCAATAATAAGCAAGATTTTCTTTTTTTTTGTTGTTCGTACTAGAAAATAATATTCATTGAAGTTCTATTATATATTGTATTAGTAATTCTTATGAAATAAAAATAAAAATCAACGATTGATTTACAATAATTTCCGGTGATCTTCTATGACAAAAGTCTTTATTAGCATCAATATATATATATACACAAATTATATGTGGATAGATAATATACTCATCAATCAAAACTTTTATCTTAAATTAACTATTTGAGTAAATTCTTGATTCTTTTTTTTTTTTCTATTAATAACTTCAAAATAATATTTTTTCGATTATTATTTAAAAAGAAACGATAGGTTCGTTGACCGTGACAAATTGTTAACATGTGTGTTGTCTACGCCTCCAAACAGTCGTGCGCGTAATCGAAAAAAAAACAGGAGGAATAACCGTCAGATAATGCGGGGATGGAAAAGATAAAAAAGACCTTACCCATTTCTTCTTATAGTTATTGATAAGAGTCAGTCCTTTAATCTTGGATATTCTGTGTGCGTACAGCTTCACTCTGTAAATATCTTTCTTGGTTTTATTTTCTCTTCTATTCGTCATTATTTATACGATAACACCCAATAATATATATATATATATTCATCAACTGGTTATTCTACGATACATATTGCTATTCAATAATATAGATTTGCAAATATTAATCATTTATCGTATTTGTTCCCTATACTATAACATACTAAACATTATCTTTATGTAATGAATCAATAATTCAACCGTTTCGGAAATGAAACTCTCCTATGAATTGTTAAATGACTAAGTGACAATAAATATATCATACAATCAATGTCATTTTGAAAAGGTTAGTACTATAAATAGGAACACAAATGACATTATCAAGAACATATTGAATGTATTTTTTTTACTTATTCAATTGAATAGTATAAATTTAATTTTATGTCTTTTTTTTTTTTTTTTTGTTTTATTTAAGTAATAATAATGATCGATTAGAACAATAGAAGTTATAGAATATATAGATACATCTCGTGCTTTGAATGACATTAGAAACAGAAACAAAATCCGCATAGTTAATTGAAAGAAACTTCTTGAATGTCTGTCTAAAAGATGCATTATTTCGATAATCTTATCAGACATAACAAATTTCTGATATATTTTACTATTCTGATATCTTTATTCTAGCAATTGTCAATTTTCTTTTTTTTTTTTTTTGTCATATAAATTTAGTTATTTCTTTTGTTAAAGTCTTTATTTATCTCTCTAAGGAAATAATATGAATGTGAAAGCTATAACATTGCTTCAATTTCCTAGAGTGATACACAAGTACAAGAAAAACAACGAAATAAGTAGAACTTTAACAGGTAATTGATATTATGTTAAAAACTAAGTCAATGACATAAATGAAACGGTGTTTCTACCTCATTTTTTTTTTATTTTCTGCAATTAAATATAATTTAGCTGATAGAATGAATGTCATAGGTTTTTTTTTGTTTCGCCAATCAATCATCAATCGTTATAGTGAACATTACATTTTTTTTTCTTTTCCGTTTTCCTTTCCTATCTTCTCCTTTTTTTTTTTTTGCTCTCTATCTCTTTCTTCTTTACAAGCATGCGTATAACACGGTTGATTATTGTCGTAGACGTCATAATTTTTTTTTTTTTTTTCTATGCCGATGTATTGCCTCGAGTCTCTGTATTATTACTACTAATAGTACTGTGTTCTATTGTCGCCATTACTAGGAAAGTAGTACGTAAACAAGTCATATCTCGTTCTCGAAAATAGTTTATTTTATTTTATTTTTTTCCGTTAGTAGTAAATAGAAAACAAGAGAGAAGAAGAAGAAGAAGAAAAAAATTTGAGTAAAAATTATTTTATTTATTTATTATAATAACGTCTATTTTGTGATGAAAAATGAATATTATTTTATTGATCATCTAAAAGAAATGAGAAGATCTATCATCTATATCTAAATATCTCACTTTGACATAAAACGGAAATTAAGAGACACGAAGAAAAACAAAAATTTGAGACTCTTAAATAGGCATCATTGAAACATCATCACTTATTACAATTGCATATCGATCATCGTCTTATTAGAGTCAATTTTCAGAGCGATATATCATATCAATCAAGCAAAAAAAAAACACAGAAAAGTAAGTATTATTTATTTATTTATTTATATACTATAGTTGACGTTGAAAATTCAGAATATAGTGCCATATTGCATTCGTAATAAATATAATGTGAATTATTGTTCCATCATATGCTCTCATAATTGTAATTTTGCTCAATATTTATTAGACCATTTTTCACTTCAATAGTTTCCGACTGAGACCCATAAATACAAAAAAACAAAAACAGCAATCCTCGAATGTTTTTGTTTTTTTTTTTTATAGAAGTAAAGAAAAGATTGTATTTAATCTGATTACTTGTTCCATATTTTTATTTGTCAAAAAAAAAACGTAAAATGTATGTGTGAAAATAAAACACCAATGAAAAAAGCTTTTCTTTTTACCTGAAGGCTTAGTAAAGTGTAATATTAATCTGATATATTCATCTCTTATGTATTTTTACTATCGTGGCTTCATTTTATGCAAACATACATATGCTCGATAGATTATTCATTTTACCGATAGAGAAGCTGTGTGTATATATATATATGCTGTTGGCCATTCTACGATTTTGCAAATATCGACAATCATCGATTAGCTTGCTTTTTTTTTTTTTGTTATTCGATGCTTGTTGATGTTAACAGTATGAGTCCAAAATATGGTTAACAGACGAATAGTTGTGAAGTTTTGCTTTAATATAAATTAAATATATGAATATATGACCTTGTCTATGATAATCTTCAAGGACTTTAATAGATCTTTTTTTTTTGCTGTGTCTATTTGACAAAAATCTTTTTATATGACATTGTAATAATGACAAAAAATACAAAAGAATGTATGAAATAAAATACAAGTATGTTAACAAGAACATTTACATCAAAGATTTTCATATGTATAAAACAAATGTAGGAAAACTAACGTTAACTATTAGTATAAGTATTCTTCTTTTTGTTGTTCTAAATAACAACAAATATTTCTATAGTTATAGAAATAAAAATGATTATTTCGTAACTATTAATCATATTAAAATAACGAAGTATATACAAAATAAAAATATCAAATATTATATAAGAATTTAGTAGATTGATTAGATTTTTATTAAATATTTATGATTAAAAGAAAAAAAAATTTTTTATACATAAAGCAAAATATTATCTTTAATTTTTTTTGTTATTTCTATTTAGTGATTAGTCAAATCTATACTTTAAATTTTTATTCTTTTCGTTGTGTTGTTACATCTGTGATTATTGTTTTGGTGTTATTTTTATTGATACATCATGTTTGAGATCAAAAGAAAAAAACGTAGATTATCAAAAAAATATTTTAATCATGATTTATTATCCTTATGTAACAAAATTCAAAATGATCAATTGTCAAAATTTAAAAAAATTCACTATTATCAACAACAAACAAATAAACAAAACATCAATAATACTCAATCATCATATCCCAAACAATTTCTTACTTATTTCCGTTATTGCTATTATTATTTATGTTCGCTTACATGTTTATGTTCCATTCCATCAAATACAATTCAAAACCACTATGTTTTATCAATATTTACTAGAAAAAATTATTCGAATACATCATCAATCAATTTATTCTATTGTTATTATTTTTAAAAAATTTGAATTTTTTATTGATTTTATTTTATTAACAGATTATTTTCGTCGTTATATATTTGAACGATATATTATTGAAATAAAAATCAAACAAATATTTTTTTCGAAATCAAATTTATTTATTATTATTATATTATTATTATTTCTATTTCCTTTAGCACGTGCAACTAAATTATCATCATCAACAAAATTTGATCTTTTATTATTAACTAATTATACAATTACATTTTCTTTTAATTTACCATTATCAAAATCACAATGGAATGCTGGATGTTGTTTAAGACCTAATCAAACAATGTGTGATTCAAAAATATATTCTCCAATAACTGGTCATAGTATATATGTATCAAATGATACATCAAGTGGAACATTTTTATTTGATGGTGGTAGTGAATTAATTGATCATCGTTCATCATTTTTTACTAATGATTATATTAATAATTATGATGTTCTTCGTAATCGTACTATATTTTGTCAACGTTATGATGCATTTCGACATTTATCATCAAATTCATTAGCTATGTTTACATATTGTATTGTTATCATTGGTATTATATTAAATTCATTTGTATTTATTGTTTTTATGTGTGGTACATTAAGACGATCAACATCATTTACATTATTTGTTGCATTAACTGTTTTTGATTTATTAAGTTTAGCATCAAGTTTATTTGCATTATTATTTCGTACTGTAATGACTTATTTAACTAATTCAGCTATATTTTGTAAAATGTTTGGAATATTTTTCTTATATTTTCGTCAATGTTCATCAACAACATTATTATTAATTGCTCTTGAACGTTGTATTGTTATTAAATATCCATTTTGTCGACATATATTTGAAAAATATCGTTTACCATTTTTAGCTATGATGATGCTTATATATGTTTTACCTATTCCATTTGATTTTATATTTTATACAAGTGGTACATTACATTGTGAAGCATTTGATACATTACATGCTAAACGTTATCAAATATTTCGTGGATTTTTTACTGTATTATCATATGCAATGGTACCATTTGTTGGTATAGCTATAAGTAATTTATTAATTATAATTGAATTAAAAAATTCAAAAAAACGTTTTATAATGAAAAATGATGATGGAACAATGACAAATTTTACAACAAAGTAAATATTTAATTTTTTTTTTTGTTTTTCATTGACTAATATTATTTATGCATAATAATAAGTTTCTTTCATGATAAAGTATTATTCTAATTGAAAATATATTATTATTAATTTTAGTCATATTTATTGATTAATTTTTTGTTCAAATGAACTATTGATTTATTGTTTGTTTTTTAATCTAGTTCTCCTGAAATACGAGGTACAACAGTTATGTTAATAGTAGCATCATTTGCATTTCTTTTTTTACTTGGTCCATTCTATGTTCATTGGTGTATAACATATTTATTTTATTATTATCCTCAATGTGAATTTACACGAAATCTATATGAAAATGTACAAGTATGTATGGGTGTATTTAATCCATATTTAACTGTTATTGAAAAAGGTATGCGTGAATCAAATCATGCTATTAATTTTATTTTATATATTGCAACATCAACACGTTTTCGTTCGGATTTTAAACGTATATTTCGTCGTCTTTTTTATCGTATATTTGGTCCAATTATATTATTTTTTGCTAAATATATATGTTTTTGTTGTACAGAACCATCATGTCTTGTTACACTTCATCAAAATGTGTCAGATACCATCAATGATGATTTTAGAAGTGGATCACAACGAAAAAATCAAGCAGCTTATAAAACAGAACATTATTATTCAAATCTTGATCGACGACGAAAAACTCAATTACTTCAAGCAACATATTCATGTCCTACTACGCCAACAACAGGCACAAGACTATCACCTACTGTATCATTTACTGCATCACCACCAACAGCATCTAAAACTGTCCGAACATTGACATGGAATCCTTATGATCCAATGATACGTCATGCAGAAAATAAAAGACAAGCTGCACGTTTATCCCAACATTTCACACATGCAGGTGTTATTTAGAAATATTCTTTTTACTATTCATATTTGTGTTATATATAAGTATATATATTTTGTTTCTTTTTGTCTTAATTTTGTTCTTTAATCCTTATTATTCTTGAAAATATTCTACAATATTGATACAATCTTAGATTTGATTACTATATGATTCATGATTTTCTAGTATCTACACATATTTATCAAGAAATCTTATATGACATGTTTAAATGTTCTTTTTCATTTCGATGATTGACAAAGATAATTGCTATATTCTCTAAATATTCTGACAAGCAAAAGAAACTGCAACATTTTTTTTTTCTATTTATATCATCTTTAAACTAAATAACATCAGAAATACATTCTGTCATAAAACTTCCCTGGATATCCCTTTTTGTTTATAATTTTATGGAAAAAAAAAACTAGAATATAAATTCTTCCAGGAAAACTTATGTTAAATCAACAATCTTCAATATACAATACCGATAAGGTTACCATATTTTTTTTTGTTTTTTTGTCCATCATTTAAAGTGCTCTTGATCAAATGATTTTCAAGAATATTTAAGTAGTTGTCCACTTCAAATGTATATAGAAATAAATTTATGGAAGAAATTATTTCATTGACACTAAGTGAAGCATTTTCTATCATTCTTTTATATATATATGTCAAGTAAACAACAACAATCAATCGATCGATCGTTTTTAATGAACAATAGAATGAACGTTGATTTAACCATTTGATAATAATAACAAAAACAAACTTATAAGGTTTAGTTATTCGTTCATTATTTTATGAACATCTCATTATTCAAATAAAAAAGAATGAAAGTTTTTTTTTTTTCTTGTAACTTAAATTTTGAATTGTCTAACCTTTTTGGATTATCTATCGTTTTTTTTATGATAATATATTCGTTCTCATATATTGAGTCTCGCCGTATTTATCCGCTTTTTTTTTTTTTTCTTTTCATTCATTTATTCTCTTCATCACTATTCAATAGAAATAACATCCGGATTGAAGGGGAGCGGCATACTACTCTCATATATATGTATATTCAAGTAGAAGAGTAAACATACAATTGAACACATCAAACCTATTCAGGCAACGACAAGGCCATTCGATTGTTGTAACGAAAAGAAAACGAATACGTTTGAACACAAGATAGCAAGTAGAAGAAAAGAAAAAGAAAATATATTTGACTATTTCAGTTTATTCAAAAATAAATATATTAAATTAAATCATGCATTTATTCTATTATATTTTTATTATAATATTTGGTTTACAAAATTATCAAGCAAAAAAAATATTAAATAATTGTCGATTTGTTAAAAAATTTTATAATACTCATCCAAATATATTTGAACTTAATCAAAATCAAACATCATTAACTATACGACCATTATATGCATTATCAAATCAATCATTTTCATCTATTAATCAATCATTTTCAATTGGTATTATTTATCGTTTTGCTGAAACATATTTAGTACCTGTACCATTACTTTTTCAATGCGAAGAAGAAAATGAACAAATTTATACACCAAATGATTGTGAATTTACAATAATTGATATTCGAGTAAGATGACGAGACAAAAAAAAACCTATCCTAATGAAAATTAATTAATAAATATAAGTTAAAGAATAATTTTCTCTAATATAAAAGGAGATAATTACCATGTGTATAACAACAGGATATGTCAATCAACGTTTTTTTTCTTATCAGTAGTAATACCTCGATATGTAATGTTGTTCGACAATAACTTTAATATACGTCAAAAATTTGATCTATTTAGAAGATATGACAAACATAAGTTTTCATCTTTATTATCAAAAAAAAAATTATCATACATACTCAACTAAAAATATGTCATATATTACGATTCTGCGACACATTTTTAAATCATAGTTCGAAAATTAATCTTTAGTACATTTATCATTTTGTTTTTTTTTTTCTGCATAAATCAATAAAATTATTATTTTTCAATTGAATATGAATTAATCATATGTATTATTCTTAAAACTCAATCTAATCGTTTTCAAGGTCAAATAACTTAGAAACAAAAAAAAAAAAAAAGGAATATAAGAAAATATATAAGTTTACTATATTCAATTGTGTTTGTTATGAATAGCCTATACACAAAACAAAACAGTAAATAAATATTAATAGATAGACTACACGACATATTGTATTAATTATTTAGTTATAAGTGACGACCTTTAGGTCCTTAGACAATCAGATTGCCGACACATTTTACATTAGCATATGTCATTAATATTGATGATTTTATCGCGAATAATGTGATAATATTATTTTTAAATTAATATATTAGTAATTCTAGTCGATTTTTCATTAAAAAGTTTCATAAAAACACATCGAGAATTCACTATAGAGATGCTCTACAGGTTTTCCTTAGAAATTTAATATGAGAAATATGATTATTATAAACTTTGGTATACAATGTTGATTATTGCTGTTTTCATATGAGTTTCTCGAAAGTGAGAAAGAAATAATTTTGTTTTTTTCTCCGTTTCTACAAAATATAATATATTTTTTTCAATTATACTTATCGATAAAATATATTTAATATTGTAAAATTATATTTATTATTGTAATTTTTCTTGAAATTGATTTAAATGAAAATAATTGAAATAATTTCTCTAAATAAAAATACAATGAATTATATAAGATTACAAAAATTAAAATGATTATGTTTATTTTCTTATAGATTGAAATAAATTAGACAATAAAATATTGTTATGAAAATATATATTTTTTTTTCAAACTAAAAAAATCATTAAAATTTAGATTTTCTTGTTTTTCTCAATAAAAAAAAAGAATACAGGAATAATATTTATACAAATAATTCTTATATCATTGTTTTTGATATATTAAGATTAATCATTGAAATTTTTCATAATTTATATTTTCTATTCGAATGAATAATTGCAATGAAATCAGATGCTTGTCATAACATTATCTCTACAATGAGATTTTGCTAAAACTTCTAGCAATTATCAACTGATTAGAAACATATTCACATATTAGATGTAAATATTGATCTTACTCTTACTCTCACGAGGGAACATATGCAAGTGTAAAATCGCTTTTGAGTCAGAAGTGGGCGCATCATGTAGGTCTTAGTGAGCTATGAATACCCTGAAAAAAGTTCGGGCTGTTGGTTTATTGCTGCCGAGATATTACATTTTTACGGTATTCTTTTTATCACAATGCGGTGGTCCCCATCAGAACTATCAGAAAACCTAAGTTTTGAATTTCAACCTGAAACTTTGCACAGTGGTAGACTATAACGAGAATAGTTTACTGTGAAAGCTTCAGATTTTTTGATTCCTTCTATTATGAAACAAGAACGAAAGAATATATCGGTGTATATTGGGAAGTAAAAACGTGCTGTTACCGTAGTCCTGTCTTAGGATAGCAAGAATAAAATGATCTGAAACTTTTACAATAAACTCTTCTCATTATGATCTATCTCTGCGCAAAGTTTCAAATCGAAATTCGAAACTTAGTTTTTTGAGGGTTTTGAGGGGAACCACGGCATTCTAATAAAAAATGTCGCAAAAATACAATATCTTGGTAGCAATAAACCAATAGCCCGAACTTTTTTCAGGGTATTCATAGCTCACTAAGACCTACATGACGAACATACTCCTGATTCAAAAGCGATTTTACACTTGCATACGCTCCCTCGTCAATCTTGTTGATATTATGAGAACAAGTATCGTGCGAGTAATAGCTATGAATTTTTGCAAAGATTTATTAGAAATAGATGAGATTATGTCTACAGATGGTACAAAATAAATAGGACAAAATGTTTTTCTATCTTTTTTAGATTCCTCTATGTGAGAATTTCTTGCTAATTGTCTAAGAACGATGATCAAACAACGATACTAGAAAATTTTGTATCTTTGAATATATATTTAAAGGTTTTAGAAAAAATATTTGTGAAAACAATTCCCAGGAGATTCAATCCGACCTGTAGATTCGATCGAAAACGATCGGATCCGCCTCGAATTTCATCGGAATCCGATATCTTTCATAAAAAACCGATCGGATCCGACAAGGTTTTTGTCGGATTCCCATCAGCCGGATTCCGGTCCGGGTTTCAACGGAATTCGACGGAACACGATGAAATCCGGGCCGGATCAGGTCGGATTTTATCACGTTCCGTCGAATTCCGATGAAATCCGGACCGGAATCCGACAAATATAGGACCGGATCCGACCGAAATTATTCCGAACTGGCGAGATCCGACTGGGGCCGTTTGACCTGGGTAATTTTTGAAAGTAAACAATATGTCAAAAACTTTTTTTTTTTGCTGGCAGCATTATATGATTATTTTTCTTCTCATATTATTAAATTAAGTCTCATTTTAGAAAATATAATTATTCAGTTTTCGAATCAGAATATCATCGGTGTAAGTTCAAAGATTTTTTCTTCTGAGAAAAATTCAGTACGAAAAATTTTATATTGAACGTTTGTTAATACTTTCAAAAATATTTATCCATTTTGATACAAAACTTTTGAAGCAAAAATCATCGGTAGTTTTTTTTCTTATGGAAAATCTTTTGATGTGTGACATGAAAAATATTTTATTCTATTTATTAATTTAATATATTTGTTTTAGTCCGATTTATCTGTTCGAAAAACCGAATCAACACGTATAACAACTGTTCCACTTCATTTTCAAGAATATTCATCATCAAATACATATTCATTATATGGTGCTTATTTTAAACAATCAAGAATTGCTTTACAAAATTGTCATTTAATTTCAAATGAAAAAATTTTTATATCAAATATATTTCATATACATATTGAATTTGAACAAACAATTGGTACAAAATGTATTGAAAAATGTTTACATTCACAATTATATGAATGTTCATCATTAACTCATACATGTCAATGTCGTTTAACTGAATCATCTATTGAAAAATTTAATCATCTTTGTATTGATACAGAACTTCTATCAAATTGTTCATATACACCAGAACGTTGTCGTCATTT